TCTCAATGGAATAATTTTCATCGAGAGTTTCTCATGCTCCGTTCCAATAAGAAAGTGCTCTTCATGTAATTAATTAGTCGCGTAAATAAGTGAACGCTTTAAAAAGATTGTAATATATTCTCACCGTCGTTATGGATGAAAAACTGAGAATCCGAATTAAAAATTGTAATTTTGAAGGGTAAGAGGTAGAGGATAACGTAGGAATCTGATGTTTCAGTAGAAATAAATACGAGTGATCCGGGGAGGACGGATTATCGTCCAATCTAGTCTTCTGGCAATATTTTCGTACTGTTTCGCGAATAATGGCAGCTCCCAAGAAACTGGTAACGTTTGAATAAACATTCTTCTGCAGCATGACATTAAAGTAGTTAACGTCTGGGATAATTATTCTTCTTATGCTCTTATAGAATGAAATCGTTGAGAAAACATAACCTATCCGACTCTGACGATCATGATTTGTTTACATAATGAATTCGATCAGTGGATGTTTGACTTTCGCCATGAAGAGAGAGCTGATAATGGTGTTAATTATTATTTATGTTTCATGTTCAGACAACAATGTTGACAGGGCTGAGAGTGGCTCAGGCTCCTCATCGTTCACTTGATCATCTTTACTCGAAAATTCTCAGAGCATTGCAGAAACTACCCACGACCTACCCTTACAGGATGCAGACTGAGAAAGTCATCAAAGATCGAACTGAGATTCTCCTTTGTGTGAGTTTGTAAAAAATGCAGTTAAAGAATTGAAATGATTTATTGAAATCTATCGCTGCTTCCTGTAAAATGTTCCTGTTTGTGTAAAAATGAAAAAATTATCTGGATAAATTTCAATTGACTTTAAATTAAGTCAATGCTTACGAATTAATTTCGGTTACAGACAGAGGACATCCCAACTATAGAAGAGAAAATCGGCTGTGGTCAAGTGGAGGAGCTCATCGTCCAGGCTGAGAATGAATTAATATTAGCTCGTAAAATGTCAGTGTGGAAGCCCTGGGAGCCCCTCGTCTCCGAGGCTCCAGAGAACCAGTGGACGTGGCCACCAACAAAGTAATTCACGTCCCACATTGTAGACTAGAAACAATATTATTCAAAACTAATTGTGCAAATAAAATTATGGAATAATCCATCGTGAAATTACCTCAGTACTTCCGGTTTAATCAGTGAGTGTCTAATGAAAATGATTAATGAGTAAGATGATTAGTTCATATTAAAATGAATGAAAATGCATTCTACCAGAAGTTGTAGGAAATTCGCTGATGTTTCAATCCAAATAATCCATACATACCCCATCCTCATCATTAAATAATTTTTCATAATTGATAATTTTTCAACTGAAAATGAATATCCAGAAAAATTTGGAATTGAAAGGAAACATTTACGGACTTGTTTCAGTTTTCAGTGAATTTCATGAAATTTCTCATGCAATTATCCATTTTCACTTATTCGTATTGTTCAATTTTTATCTTAAATGAGGATTTTTTGATAAATTTTCTCACCAGTAGTTATTGTTGCGAACGGTGTGGTCAACGAAGATAGCCACCGGCTGTTGTACTCTCGCCAAGTGCTTACCTTATTACAGCATTATTACTCGGAGGACGAAACTATTAAAAGAGCATCTGCCGCATCTCACAATTTTTCACCATAACTCTCGCCAGCCCCAGCAACTATAATCAAAACAACCTAGAGGCATGCCATTCACTGTCAGACCGAGGCGATGGCGGGATTATCGATGTGGGGGGTTGTGCTCACCTCATTCGCTAATAAAAAATACTTGGAATTTTATTAAAATTGAAATTCGTCATCGTTTGTCGGCGACGAAGAATGCCTACAGGATATTCCATGAAATTCAATTGAATTAAAAAACTGCAATCTCAACATTCAAATACTATAA